CCCGAGGGACCCCGACCCACAAAGGAGCAGCCGGGCCCCAGCTCCCACGCCGCCACCCCGTGCCGCCCGCCCGCCCCGCCGGCCACCGGCCCCTTCGAAAAGTCACCGGAGAACTGCTCGCCCGACCTGAGCGCTGAGGAGGACGACATGATGATGTGCTCCAACGCCAAGTGCCGGCGCACGGAGACCATGTTCAACGCCTGCCTCTATTTCAAATCGTGCCACAGCTGCTACACGTACTACTGCTCCCGGCACTGCCGGCGCGAGGACTGGGACACGCACAAGGCCAGCTGTGTCTATGGGCGGGTGGGCAGCGTCTGCCGCCACGTCCTGCAGTTCTGCCGCGAAAACACCGAGGTGCACAAGGCTTTCTCGCGCATCGCCAAGGTGGGATACCTCTCCCGCGGCCGTGGCGTCCTCTTCCTAGGCTTCCCCAATTCGGGGTCAGCCGAGAACTTTCTCCAGTTTGGGCTGGAGAGCCTGCTGATGTCCCCCACGTATCTGTCCCTGCGGGAGCTGGACAGCTACTCGGACAACCTGGGGGAGTATGCCCAGGAGCTGCGGGAGACAGGCAACCAGTACGACCCCAACGAATGTTTCCTGCTGAATGTAACCGTGGCCGTCACTCAGAAAGTGCCAGAGAGGCCGTCACCCAAGATGCAGGTGCCGACGGTCAGGAAATATGCCAAGGTGGCCTTAGCCTCCTCCAGCCCCGAGAAGAAGATCTTGAAGAAGGAGCGGGACATGGAAACGTTGATCCTGACGCCACCGCCCGGCACGGCGGACATCGACAAGGAGGGGGAGGAGGGTCGGAAGGCACGGGAGGTTTGCTTCATCAACATCCAGCGGGAGCTGCGCATCCGCGGCGTCTTCCTGCGGCACGAGTTCCCTGCTGTCTACGAGCAGCTCTGCGACTTCGTGGAGAGCAACAAGCGCTTCACCCCCACCACCATCTACCCCATCGACAAGAGGACGGGCAAACAGTTCATGTGCATGATTATGGCGGCCTCCGAGCCTCGCACCCTCGACTGGGTGGCCAGCCCCAACCTCCTGGACGACATCATGTGAACGCAGGGCGGGGGGCACCCCCTCTGTAGATACGTGCTGTCCTGTCAGAACCCCCCAGGCTTTTACACCAAGGGGAGGGGGCGGCGGGCGGCCGGCAGTGCCGGGGGGACCGCGGGGTGACGGGAGCACGGCCCGAGGTTTGCCCTGGAGCCCAGAGTCTGGCGAGCCCTTGCACAGCCCGCTCGGGTGAGCGGTGCTCGGCCAGAGCGGGGACGGCCCGCATCCCCCCAGCCCCTGCCCACCGGGCCGGGACACACCC